GATTGCAGTGCTGCCTTCTCCACGCCTCTTTACGCTTTACACAGTCATGGATTCTAAACATTCTTGGCCTGATCCTGAACCTGAACCTGAACCTTTTGAAGATCCATCTCGAGTCCCCAGACGTGTGACTTGAGTTCGAGGTGCTCAATGTTCAAGGCGTCGTATACCTTCTTGAATTCGCTCCTGACTTCATTGAGTTGATCTACGGTGGCTGCCTTGGAACGCAATGCCTTGAGTTCAGCATCTACAGACTCAATCTTCTTGGCGTAGTCACGGACCTACAAGGAAGGAGAAACAACATGTCAGCAAAACAAGAACAGCTGGGTCAAGGTCCATGCGTCGACGAAAGGGAGAATAACAAACAACTCTGTACCTTGTTAGTAGATGTCTGCAAATCCTCAACGCTGCTCAGCAAAAGGTTGGAAGCGGTCTGGTACTCTTCCAAAAGATAGTAGTAGCCGGCACTACCGGCAGCTGTGGCACCTAGCAGGAATCCCAGGATACTATGGAAACATCGCCGGTAAAGTAGAGAATGACAAAATTCATATGTCAATGGCCTGGAAGGAACGGTGCAGAGGTACTTTGACGAGGGTCTCTGTCTCCATCCCATGATCCATGTACACTTGATAGTCTATCCGATCGATGCGCGGTGAGGGTCACCCACACCCTGGGATGATTGGCCACGAGAACCAATGAGGTGGTCCATGTATCCCATCCCGTCCTTTCTTTGTTGCCAATCCAGGTACGCCAAAAACTGTCCGTGAAAAAGTCTCCCTTAGGTCGGTTCCTTCGGGGGATCAGCTGTTCCTGGAAAGAAAAAGGGTACTCTGCCTGTCTCATCAACGCGATCCGCGATCCGCGATCCTGCCAATTGGTTCCTAGATCGACGATCCTGTTGAAAATCTCCAAAACGAGAACACTTTGCTCCGGTCCCGAGTGATTACCCTCCACGGAATCCGCCAACAGGGCGCTTGTAAGTGACAACGGGTTGCGTGGCACCGGCACCTTGCTCGGCGCGAGCGACAGCACTGCTGGAGAAGTGACGGCGCGAAACCAAGCGAAGAGAGGAAGCGGCTGCTGCTTGCATTGTCGTAAACGAGACGAGTGGGGAGAGCGTAGGGAGGGGAGAGGGTAAGAACAAGGGCAGAGAGGTGAAGAGGCGGGATGAACAACAGATCACTCTAGTGGCCGACGGTCCATCGGGCGAACACCCGCAGTGGCTTGGTCCCAAAACACGGTGCGCTTGAGAGTGTTGGAGAATGCTTCTTCCACCATCGTCCCCTCTTCACCATGTCCACTCGTCACCCGGTCATTACTGCCATTGCACCCGCACTCCCCCTCCCAGAACACCGAGGAATCGGCCTCCTGCGAGGTTGACGGGTGGCATTCTTCCTATCTACTCACGTCGGCTACGACTCAACGCCAAACAATCCACTATCTCAACATTCCTGAGTGACAAGCCAAGTGTCTGATTGTAGTAGGTCTATAAGTCTATTGTCTATCACTTTACTTCTTTGCAATGCCGTTGAAAACGATGCGGTTGGCAGCCTTGCGCAGGTTGCCCTTGACCTTGTTCTTGTGAGCAGATGACTTCAGCTTGTCGTAGACCTGCTTGGCGGTCTTGAGCTTCTTATTCTCGCTCATATACAAGGCTGCGACACCAGCAACGTGAGGGGATGCCATGGAAGTGCCGCTGATCGTCTTCTGGGTGTACTTGACGGAGGTGACAGTCTTCTTACCAACCTTCTTCTCTGACACCGTGAACCAGGCACTTGTAATGTCCGTGCCGGGAGCAAACATGTCGACACACTTGCCCAAGGATGACTGTGGCGAAATGCCGTCATAGATATCAAGGTTGCCAACAGCGATAACGTGGGGAGCACGAGCAGGCGAAGTCCTGCAGGCACTGTTGACATTGCCCTCGTTACCAGCGGCAGCAATAACAGGGATACCAGCCTTGGTGAGCGCCTTGGTGGCCAAGTCGACGGCGTCAGAATCTGGACCAGCGACGGACATGTTGACGACGGCGCGCTTACCCTTGGCGTCCTTGATGATCCACTCCAAACCTTGCAGGAGCTGTCTTGTTGTGCCGAAACCATTCTTGCGCAAGACCTTGACACTGACAAGTTTGGCCTTCTTGGCAGCACCGTACTTCTTGCCAGCAATGGTTGCAGCAACGTGAGTGCCGTGACCGTTTTCGTCATCCCCCACGCTGGAAGTGGTGCTGATGCCGTGTTTGGCGCGTCCTTCAAAGTCTGGATGTTTGAAGCGGATTCCAGTATCAACAACATAGACGGTGATACCAGCACCCTCCGACTTGGGATAAAGGTATGGAGGAGGAGGAGGGATCTTCTTGCCCTTCTTGGCCACGGCATCGGTGCGGGAGAGGCGAGAAAGTCCCCAGGAAGGAGGGTAGGTCTGGATGTTCCAGTTTGGAGATGTGTTCGCTTCAAAGTCCACAGCCTTGAAGATACCCTCTTGTTCAACGGATTCGACCTCAGGCATGCCAAGGACATTCTTCAAAGATGCTGCGTCCAAGGTGGCTACATAACCAGGGAAGCTTGTGAAAGTATCGTCGATCTTGGTGGTGCTACGCGTACGCGAGTTCGTGATGCGAGACACCATGTTGGTGAACTTGGGCTGGAAGGTATGGATGGAGCTGTCATTCTTGAGAACAACAATGTAGGAGTTGGGGATGACTGAAGAACTGTCACTGTTGGCGCGGAAGGTGGCGGCCTCGGTGGAGGAACCAAGGGCCAAGCAGGCGACGACGGCGAGGGAGAGGAACTTCATGTTGATGGGAGAAGGACAGGTGTGGATAGAGTGGAAAGGACCTTTTGTGCTGTAGGAGCTGTAGAAGCTGTAGAGGTTGAGAACCAGGAAGGGGGCCTTGAAGGAGGATTTGTGGAGGGGAAGGTGAAGATCTGTTGTGACATGGAAACGGCTCCTTTTATACCGGATTGGCGTCCTCGAACTCCAAGACAAACTTTCATTCCATTAGAGATTTGTGAGCACTTCTCAAGGTAACAGCAACACGCCTTCTTTCTTCCGTCATGAATGCATGCGGATGAGCTACACTCGTCGTTCCCGTCGGCGTCGTAAGATTCGTAGAATCCTCCGCACCGCGTTGGCGTCTAACAAAGTGTCCCAGTGACCATGCCCGCCCCACACAGTGCGCCATTGGACCTGCAGCCGTGCTAAATGGTTGCTAGATCGCAACTCTTTGAAGCCTAGATATTCACTGATAACTTTTTTTATCCTTTTATTAACGAGGTTCCTCATCAGTTGTTGAAGCTGCCACTCCTCTCAAGACAGTAGCCAAGAGATGTTGGAGCAGCTCCATGGCTGTTGACACAAGAAAAGCCATCCCCAAGTCCGACCCGTCACAGTGTCCCGAACTACAGCCAACTATGGCATGCATGTGCAGCCTGAATTTATGAAAACCAAGGTAAGGGCACAACCTAACTGGAGTAGAATTACAGGAACCATGTGCAACATTTGGAAGAGTGGCTCGCTCGGAACAAACCTTCCACCGAACCTTTAGAACTGGCTCTCAACAATGATGTTTTGCGCCTTCCTGGTCTCTCAACTAGAGTCGGGTCAATCAGCTTGGGACCATATAAGTGCATCATCCCGTGGCACTGATGAATCATTAGAGTCCACATGGGCACCTTGTTATCCCAGATTTCTGGAAATGGTATGTTGAGACATTGCTAGTGAACGAGCTGAGAGAGCATGCTGACATCAAACCTCACCTTGTCCACTGAGTAGCACTCAATCTCGACCATCACACCTGAACGATGTGCTAGAGGAACAGTGGGAATGGCTACCCCATCGACCTACCAACCAACGACCACATTTGAAGGATTCGACACTTCCCGGGATCTACCAACACGACGCCGTCCTATGAAACCTAAGTCAGAGATCGATCTTCGATCTGCTAAGAATATCATCTCAGAGAGTTTAAGTGTGCCAACAGAAATAGACGTAGGTAAGCGTCAATTGGTTGACAGCTTGGCTGAACGCGTGCATGCCACTACAGACGCCGGCTACTCGTCACACTTGGTTGTTTGCGTTGCGCCCATGCAGAGGAATAACGCGTGTCCAATTGCTTCCTTTTCAGTAGCGGCCAACTGTACCAGCCTTGCTCCCGTACAAAAAAAAAAACAAACAAAAATGATCAGGGAGGTGGAGGGATTTGAACCCACGAAAGCTTACGCTCACTGCCATATATGTTCGAAAACGAACTCACAAGGGTAGCAGCGCCTTAACCGGACTTGGCTACACCTCCAACTGGTAGTGCCTGTTAGGAACCAAATCTTGTACCACTCCATCGCGTTGGAGGATCAAGGTCGAAAACAAGGGAGCTACGACAAACATTGGGATGGCGCAATGGGTAAGGTTGTCTGACGACTCCACGCGAGCTTAGTGCTCAACATTTCAAGCAAATGACGGCTGGCGGAATATGGCTCAACATGATAGAATAGGATTGGGTTCCGAGTCGACTTGGACCTCCCACTAAGAACCAGAAGCAGTATGTGAGTGCACAGGCAATGAAGGACATGTCTTTATCCGGTTTTCTATTCTTTCTATTGGTCGTCTATTCTGATCCTGTCAGAGTATGAAGTCTATGATAGATGCACCAGGCACCGGGGTAAAGAGGCTCTCGGTCAGAGGATTGCTGGAGTGGAGCGTCAAGTAAGGCGCAGCCGTTTTAGGCAGCACTGTTGAAGAGAAAGCGGTTGGGCGAGCCCCTCAGAGGACCCGAAACAACATTCTTGGTAGAGGTCTGGATCAGTTTGTTGTACACAGCCTGAGTAGAGGTCAACGAAGGATCAGCGCTCATCAAGAGGGCTGCAACACCAGCGACGTGAGGGGTGGCCATTGAGGTTCCGGAGATCCTGTTGATAGCATTCGTGGAGCCAATCCAGGCTGAGGTGATGTCAACACCGGGTCCGAAGATGTCAAGGCACTGGCCCCACGATGAGAAGGAAGCAATGCCGTCCCCAGAGTGCGTGGCTCCAACAGTGAAAGAGTTCCTGGCACCTGAGGGCGATCCATTGCAGGCATCAAGTCTGGCATCATTTCCGGCTGCCACAAGCACAGGAATTCCGGCGCTGTAGAGGCGGTTGACAGCTTGGTCGACGGCAGGAGACTTGCCACCACCTATTTCATTACAATCAAAGTCATGGAACAAACAACCATTAATATCAAACAACCATGAGCAACACATGACAGTGACAGGACGAATGAGCAGAGCATCTTACCGAGAGACATGTTGACAACGGCCTTGGTTCCCCTGGCGCGTTGGGCAACCCAATCCATACCGGCGATGATGCCAGAGTTTGAGCCCTGGCCATTACGGCTCAAGACCTTGACACCGACCAGTCTAACCTTCTTGGCAACACCAAATCTAGTGCCACCAATTGTGCCAGCAACATGGGTGCCGTGACCGTTCTCGTCGGTGTTTGGTGAACCCTGGATGAAGTTAGCCCCCATCACGGCGCGGCCTCCGAAGTCGGAATGGGCGGTGTTGATGCCGGTGTCAATCACGTAGGCTGTCACACCAGCGCCAGCTTGGTCCTGGTAGAGGTAAGGAGCTGAGGGGTTTCGCCTGCGCTGAGAGACGCGAGGGAGACCCCAAGAGGGAGCTCCAGCTTGCTGGAGGACATTGATACTCACGATCTGATCTTCCTCGATAAAGTCGACATCATCCGAGGCAAGAAGCTCTTTCAAAGCAGCTTGGTTAACAGTGGCGGTAAAGCCCCTGATAGCCTTGAAATGATGACCGATGGTAGACTTGCGGCCACGACCATTCTGGCGCTTGGCAATTGCCTCGAACTTGGGGACAAAGTCATTGACAGACGTGCCATTCTTGAGCACAACGATGTACGAGCCGGGGATGGGCTTGCCAGAGTTGCTTCGAATCAGAGCGGCGGCATCTGCGGAGGCAAAGAGAGTAACGCAGGCAGCGAGGAAAAGACCGGTGAACTTCATGACTGGATTTGAAGAGAAGGATGCTTGAGTAGTGTTGTTGTGTAGGGAGGGATCTGCTGTTGCAAGAGAAGACTGGAGGAGTGGATTGCTGATGTTGATGATGAGAAGAGGTCTCGAGCAACTTGCTTTTATACCCTTCCTGAGACTTCTCCTCGAAGCACAGAAGATTCCGCCCACTCAATTGCCCATCCAACCATCCAGGGTTCGCAATATCCCCACACTCGTACCACGGGGCGGGACCAAGTAGCCAGCAAGGGACCAGGGACGGCCGAAAGGCAGGGCAATATGGGATAGAGAGCATAATTGATGGCTCTCATTATTTCGTAAGTTGGGGAAACCTTGTCCCTGAGTGAGATGTATGAACCGAGGATATGAAGCCTTGAAAACCTTCCTTTCCCACCGGTCGACCGTAGTGAGCATGTCCCAGGTGATGTACATCGCAATCTTGCAACATAGTTATTAAAGGTACATTGGAATAGCTGAGTTCCAGCCCCCTAGGGAAGCACTAAATGCGCATCAATGCATTGATCTACTGGTTGGCCATGGCTCCCGACGCGGCACCTTGTTCAAATGCCTCGACATGGGACCTGGCGAGATTGATCGCGATGGTGTCAATTGGTCCTACGGGGGAATTCCCGTAGTCGACGTGTCAGCCTTCCAATGACCATTTTCTCCGCACTGCTTGAGCAAAGCCACCAGCCGAGATCTTTGATGCTTTCTCATTCCTCTTCACTCATTACTGCCGCTCATTCTCTGACTGCCACAAGTAACACGCCGGGCGATCCAATGTCACATGCCTCAAGTCTGAGCTCAGCGATCCTCGTCATGGAGAATACATGGAATCTACAGCTCAGGGATTGTACTCGCGAATCAGCAGCCAAGGGCACAGGGAACGTTACCGAGGATTGTCCCCACTCTTTATGGTCGGTTATGAGTACAAGTGTATTACGGATTACGTCTAAAGGTATTTTGTGTGCTCTCTCTCTCTAGTAATAAGGTGAGCGTCAGTTACTTTGCGCTACCGTTGTAGAAGGCCAAAAGGTTGGGTGCCTTCCTCACATCGCCCTTGACCTTGTCTTTGATGCCGGTGGCCTTGAGCTTGTTGTAGATTTGCTTAGGGGTCTTCAAGTTCTTATCTTCACCCATGTACAGAGCCGCGAGACCAGCAACATGAGGGGAAGCCATGGAAGTACCGCTATGTTCCACACCGCCGAACACCATGACGTTCTTCTTGTTGTTCCATCCGAATGACGCGCTCTTGATATCTTGACCTGGAGCAAAGATGTCGACACAATTGCCCAAGACTGTGTGTCTTGCAACCTTATCATCTCGATCGATGGAAGCAACAGAGAAGGCGTATTTGGCTCCACCAGGCGATGTTTGGCAAGCAGTATGTGAGTTGCCGTCGTTACCAGCAGCGGCGAAAACTGGGAGGTTGTTCTTGTAGGCCTTTTCAACGGCGGCGTCCAAGCTTCGAGTGCTCGGTCCACCAAGGGACATGTTGATGATGGCCCTTGTACCCTTGGCCTTCTGGATCACCCAATCCAACCCCTTGAGGATGTCACTGAGTTCACCACCACCTTGGCTATCCAAGACCTTGACACTGACAAGATTGACCTTCTTGGCAACACCGTACTTCTTTCCACCAACAATACCGGCAACATGGGTACCATGACCCTTCTCATCATAGTTGGGCTCGTTCTTGACAAAGTTCTTGCCATTCTTGGCACGACCTTCAAAGTCGGTGTGGTTGAACATGATGCCAGAATCAATGACATAGACTGTCACACCAGCACCAGCTGATGTCGGGTACACATATGGAATGGTCTGGTTGCGCACAGTCTTGCGCTGAGAGATACGAGGAAGACCCCAAGACGGAGGCTTGGCTTGAGTGACAAGGGAAGCAGAAGCCGATGCCTGGATATCCAAAGTGTGGAAACGGACGTTTTGTTCAACATAGTCGACTTCAGGCATGCTCAGGACTTCCTTCAAGGACGTAGGATCCAAGTCAGCTGTAAATGCAGGGATCGCCGAGAGGTGGTCAACGATCTTGGTCGCGACGCCCGAACGAGAGTTCAGGACACGGCTCACCAGGTTAGTGAGCTTTGGCTGGATGGACTCGGTCGCCTTCTGATCCTTGAGAACCACAATGTAAGAGTTGGGAACAGGCTTGGTTCCAACACTGTTGCTGTAAAAGGTGGCTGCCTCAGAGGAGCTCAAAGCCAAACAGGCAACAACTGCGAGAGAAAGGAACTTCATGATGATGCAAGTGGAGGAGATGATGGAGAGCAGTTGTAAACCAGGAAGGGGTCGTGAAAGTGGAGGGAGTTGGAAAACGGTGAGTGAGGATCAGGATGGGAGGTCCCGTCTCGAGTCTTTTTATACTGTGGAAGTGGTCTCACAGCAAAAACCCAACTTATCGATCCTGTGCGGCAGTGTTTGCGGTATACGACAGTGCATTCCGGGGCGGTTGGCATCAAAACCCAGCAAGGGTGGCTAACAATCGTTGTGAGCAGAAACCGTTGAGAGCTCATTGTCATTGTTCTGCACATTCCCCGGTTTCCTTGATGCGACCCGATAAAAAGGGCTACTACTAACAGCATGAATCGTGTATTTTTATCCCTCCCTCTTGTTAGCTTCGTACGAAGGGTTTATCCCTACCGAGTCATCTGTGAGGACCTCAGTTCATCAATTGCGACTATCGCGACCATTGCGACCATTGCGACCATTTCAAGATGATGTCAAGCACCTTACAATGCAACGGAATGCTCCCAATCTTCAGAGTGAACTGCTCAACTCGAACAACGGGAGGGCGCGGTATCGATGTATGAACACGGCAGCATGGTCCGATTGGATCCCTGTGAGCCTCAGAGGGACGGATGGATGATCGATCTGGCTATCGTGTGCGCTTCCGACGGCCACCCGGAGCAGACCGATGGTGTAGTCTTGTCGTAAGATGGCTGGAGGGTATCGAGATGACACCTATTCTTCCCAACCTTCACCCGGACCAAACTAGAGCCGGTACTTCAGGATCCAGTGACATCGACTGACACCAGTCCTCGCATCTGAACGACGACTAAAAATACCTACCAAAGTATCGTCCCTCAACAGTTCGCATCCAACCTTCTTCAACCAGAACGCGCACATGCACACTTTAAACGTCAGACTGTGCATGATACGACCATGCTGTGTCTACCACAGTGGGGCCAAAAAAAGGAGACCTCGTGGAACAAAAACGGGAGGTGGAGGGATTTGAACCCACGAGAGCTTTCGCCACTGTCATAAAAATCTGTTGACAGCGCCTTAACCGGACTAGGCTACACCTCCAGCTATCTCGGGCTGTCGCGGTCTAGACTATTTCATATACCTGGCATCACCTGACTAGGTGCACGTGG